TGATGGACCTTCTTGGTAGGTAGGCACTAGGACTTCCTGGGAACTGAGGTTTCATGTGAATCCTCCCAATGCCTTTGTCCCAATTCAGGACAGGTCTCTGTGACTGGTCTGTGTGGGAAGGGTGTAAGTGGGGGACTATCTTTCTCTTGTTTGGGACTGTGGAGGCTTGTGTGAGTTATGTAGAAAACCTATTGCTTTCAATCACCCCTTCTTTCTCCAGAGTGCTCTCCCAGTCTTGTGATGGGGCCTCTTCTGGGGTATCTGGGGGCTTGGAACTGTTTGTCCTCTGCATCCCCAGGTGACCTTCTAATAAACTTCAGCTTAGGTTTTAAGGACAACCCTCAAAGCCCTAGGGTCCACTCTTTCATATAGTTTTCTCTGCTGAGAGCTTCAATCATGCAATGTTTTCAGTTGGCTATCTTGACTTTACCCCACAAATTAAATTTTAACGCCATAATTTTTTAAAAAATAAAACAAGTTATCTGTGTGTAGAGTTGGTGACACAGTGAATTATTTCAAGCAACTTAAAGCAGAGTAATTTGACAGTACATTCCAAATGATTTACATCCTAAGGACAAAAAGAGCTGCAGAGAAAGCAAGATTTTGAACAGCTACAGCTATCATGTTTCTAGTTATTGTTTATGTTTCAAGCTATTGTTTTTCTGAAATTAGAATACAATATAATGTACAACAATATAATGTAAAATGACACAAATAACTGGCATGTTATACAGGTTATATTATATAACAGGATAAAGCAAATAAGTAATTATGTTAATGTCATCAGGAACCATGATTTTTTTTTGAGAAAATAGATATAAAATAAAATAAAATTCGCAACAACCATGTAATATTAATTTGAATTGAGAATATTAGTACAAAGAAATGGTGTGTTTTCTCTTAAATTTTTTTCTTAACTCTATCCATTAAAATTGTCTAAAATCAGGAACCAACCCAGCAACAGTGGGCATCTCTAGAACCCAGATTATTGTTTCTTACTACTATTTTCCACCAAAAAGTAGAGATCCTTGGAGAAATGGTAGATTCTAGATCTGGAACAAGAAATGTGTAAGATGGGCCTGGAACATCTTGTTGTACTTGTAAGCTATCCAGAATTACTGGAGTCATATGGAAGGAAATCAGGAGCTTGGAGAGGTTTTAACCAACTTGAGATGAAACAATTAGAGCATCAATAATAACAGCAAATGCAATTGACTGAAACATATAAAGAATATTTAAATTTGTGAGTTAATAATAATTTTAAATAAACAAAATTCATTTTTGGAAACCTACTGCTTTATTTGAAAACTGGTAAATATAGGGAACAAATAATCAACTGTTTTGATTTTCTGTATAAATTGTATCTCAGTGTAACCAAATATTTGATAAAGGAGAGTATGTCTCTGAAGACACATTCTAGCAATAAAGAAACAAAATGACTGAATGGCAATTCCAAATAAAATACTAGACCTAGGTAGTGATCACCAGTGGTTGCTGACATTAAAAACAAACAAACAAAAAAAACCTGTCATTATGTGACTCTTGATGGAGGTATAGGACACCATCTATAAAGTAGTCTTGCTAAAGAAAAAATAAATCAACGTTGTAGATAATTAAGCCACCTTGTTTAATTACAGACTGCAGGAAGTTCAGGGAACTTCTTAAATGACACCACAAGGATGCAATCAGCAAAATCCAGAAAGTGGAAAATGATGACACCAACTATCTATTTTCTCCAATCCCCAAATTGCAAGGAAACAAAAAAGAGAGAGGTGGAATGATATTTATAGGTAAAAAGATATTTAATAGATTTATCAGAACAAAATGAAACAAATGGACCTTGTTTAGATCCTGACTCAAACAAACTTTAAAAAAGAAATTATAAGGAAATCTTGAAAATTTGAACACTGAAGGAATATGTGATATTAATAACATCTTATAAGTTATTTTAAAATATGTTAGAAAATAATGCTATTATCATTTTTAAAGAATCATTATTGATTGGAGATATAAACTGAAATATTTAGGGATGAAATGACATAATGTCTGGGATTTGCTTCCAAATCCAATGTGGGGGGGATCATGAGAAAATGGTAGGAAGAATAAATTCAGCCTCGCACAGAAAAGATTTGATGTTGAACAATAGTACATAGAAGTTCTTTGGATTATTTTCTGTACTTTTATATGTTTTTAATCTTCCATAACAGAAAGTAAAAACTGAAAGATATTAAGATATGAAACTTACATGAGTAGGTTGAGAAGAGCTTCTCTCAACTATTAACTCAACATCTGGGAAAGGAATAGCCATGTTCCTATTTCTAGTCGACATCCTCAGATGAACAACATGATTTCCACTTTGCAGGAAAGGTACAACATCAGGAAGTTCCCAGGTCACTGTGAGGTAAGCATCATCTTCCTTACCCTTTAACAGAAATGCAGTGAGTACATGAAAAGTTCAATTAATTATTTCATTTTTAGTTGTTTTAAAAATATATTTAAAAAAATAGAACATGCACTGATGTATTCACCCTTCAGCTTTATCAAATCTTGGACCCCCTTCTATTCCTTGTTAATATAATTCCTCTTTCTTCTTCCCTCCCCAGAATATCAGTAACCTGAATATGTTTGTCTCAAAAGTTTTGTTTTGTTTGAGTTGGAGTCTCATTGTCACCCAGACTGGAGTGCAGTGGCTGCTCCCGGCCACTGCAGCCTCAACCTGCTGGGCTCCGGCAATCCTTCCGCCTCAGCCTTCCAAGTAGCTGAAACTACAGGCGCACGCTACCACGCCCAGCTAATTTTTTTGATTTATTGTAGAGATGAGGTCTCGCCTGCCCAGGCGGGTCTCGAACCCGCGGGTTCAGGCAATCCACTCACCTCAGCCTCCCAAAGGCGAGGAATTACAGGCTGAGCCACCGAGCCCGGCTAAGCTTTAATATTTCTGCACAGACATACATATATGTTCTCATGTTTGTATATGATATTGCTTTCAGACTTTAAACTATTTTATGTGTCATCAAACTGTATGGATTCTTCTTCAGCTTGCTTATTTCACTCGCTATTATGTTTTTTGAGATTTATACACATTATCTCATGGAACTGTAGTTATTTATTTTTAACTGCCTGATGGTGTTGTGTGGATATATTACAATTTATCCATTCTCCTACTGATGGATGCTCAGGTTGTTGCCAATTTTTACTACTTGTCTTTAGGACTGGTGACATAGTTTCTAGGACATATGCTAGGGTAGCATTACCAAACTGTAAGATATGCACATCATCAGTTTTACTAGATATTACCAAACTGTGGCATTATCCATGTCTACTCTTAACAGGAGTCGATGAGAGCTCCCTTTTCTTTACATTCTTGATAGGACTTGATGTTACTTGATCTAAAAAAAAATTTTGGCCTATTTGATGAGCTCGAAATGAGACATTTTCAAACTAATTTTAAAATGCATTAATTTTCAACCTTAAAACACAGATTGAAAAGTGAAACAAAACAAAATATGAGGGGACCCCAAAAAACCTGGAATTTATTTATAAAAAATTGTGTATTTATTCTTACATGTTTAAACTTCAGTCACCTTTCAAGTACTCTCCACTGGAGACAATACACCCATCAAGATGCTTTTTTCACTGTTCAGAACACTTTTGAACTCATCAGTTTTGATACCTTTGAGTGCTTCTGCCATTTTTTGTTTCCCCTCTTCCGCACTGGCAAAACATTTCCCCTTGAGAACTTTTTTCATCCAGGGAAACAAATAAACAAACAAGTCACTTGGGTGAGATTGGGCAAATAGGGAGGATGGGGAATGGGAGCCATGACTTTTTTGTCAAAAATTGTTGAACAATGCATGTGGTGTGAGTAGCTGCATTGTCATGGTGGAAGAACCACTCATCTGTTTGCCACAACTCAAGACGTTCCTTCACAACTGCAGCCTCTCACAGCTAGTGTACATGAGCTCATACACTGATGTGGAGGGGTTCCTAGAACACTTACCTAGCCTGTGCTGCAGGGGGCCTGCCTGCCAAAGATAATTCTGTTTTTGGGGGGGTCCTCCCGATACATTAATGTCATTCATGTATTAATGACATTAATCACATTTCCCTAATTGTTAGTGAGTTGAACATTTTTTCATGTGTTTGTGAGCCACCTGGGCTTCTTTATTTGCTTTTTGTCCTTCTTTGTTTTGAGCCTTTTGATTTTTATCTGGCTCTTGGGGATTTCTTTAGATATCCTAATTCTTAACTATTCCTTAGCTACCTGGAGTGCATTAGTCTTCTCACATCCTGTGACTTGTGTTTCACTTTGGTTTTTTGTTCGTTTATTTTCTGTTTTTTGTTTCTTTGTTTGTTTTGAATTGGCTTCTCACTCTGTTGCCCAGGCTAGAGTGTAGTGACATGATCATGGCTCACTGCAGCCTCGACCTCTTGGGCTCAGGCAATCCTCCCACTTTAGCCTCCAAAATAGCTGAGACTACAGGCATATGCCACCACATCCAGGTAACTTTTTTTTATTTTTTGTAGAGATGAGGTCTTGCTATGTGCCTAGACTGGTCCCAAACTAATGGGCTCAAGCAATACTCCTGCCTTGACCTCCCAAAGTGCTAGGATTACAGGCATGAACCACTGAGCCCAGTCTTAACTTTTTTGTGAGACAAGCTTTTATTCCTCGTTTAAATGTAATAATGATATCTTTGTGATATCTTGTCTGTGAAGGTGGTATATCTTTTCATTTATTCAGAGTTTTTAAAAAACATCCTTTAATATTTTTTTTAATAAAACTTTTGCATATGCTTTGCAAAATTTATTTTCTTTTGCTATTATAGTATAATTATTTATTCTACCAGTATTATGTTTATGTTTTCTAACTGGTTATTATTGAAAATATGCCATTAGTTTTTGATTTTGGAATTTTCATAAGGGAATAAAAACCACAGTTTAAAGGTTAGTTATTTTGTGTGTAGAACAGTGATCTTTCCAAGCTGAAAAGTAACTATGGAAAAGTGGAGAGACTATTGCTCTAGGAGTGAAAACAATCAATTTCTAGTCTTAGTTCTAACAGAACTTTGCAGAAGATACATAAATTCTTTGGTCTTATTTTTCTTACTTGTAAAATGAAGACTTCAGTGAGTTGATGAATAAAAGTTCTTCCATTTCCACTTTTTATAGCTTTGTGGTTCTAGGTATAGCTTTAATGCCTCTGTTCTTTCATATCTATGTTCATTTAAAAGTATGGGTCAATGGTATTCCCACCTATGGGTGGATTCTTTGGTGAGAGTTTGTGCCATTGAAGGAGAAGGAATCTCAGTAGTATCCAAAGAGTGACCAGAAAGCAGCACATTAGGTAACAGTTGAGTTAGATTCATGTGACCCCTTGATGGTATGAGTTGGCTACAGTAGTTTAAATAGGTTTAACTGGTTTCAACTAAAACATACAGGACATTGCTTCAATTTTACCAAGTAGGACATGAAGAGGAAGGGGACTTAGAAAGTCTACTATCATCATTGTATGAAAAGAGAGGTGCTATTAATACAAAACAGAGGGGAAAAATACCATCTTAAAATTTAAAAGATAAAATTTGCTTTGAGAAAAGTAACACTAATTTTCTAAATTTCATTCGTAATTGATGAAACCTTTTTATCTTAGATTGATATTGGCAGGTGGGCCTTTAGAAATCAATGATCTAGAAAAATAGCCGTTCATATAAGAACACATGTTAATTGTTTCCATAAAGGAAGACACACATAGGGCTCCTTGAGTAGATCCATAAAGTGGCTAAAAGGAAGCATGAATAAAGAGAAATAACCTGGTCTCTAAAATTTGAACTATATTGGGGTCAATTAATCATCTTTGAACTTCCATGGTGCTTTGTTCATGATGATAGAACAATAATCTCTCACTAACCTATGGTTTTGTCAATGAGAGTTTGGAGGCGACTTGATCTCAAATTTACCAGAAATTTTATGTGGGCAGAATGCGATTCTATCCCCTTAAAACTGAGATTATAAAATAATTTTTGTTTTCATCTCTTGAGGTATATGAAGTTTTATCAATAGCCCAGTCAATATATAATCTACCCTCTCATTACATGGTTAGAAGATTATGCCCAGAAAATTTAGTACAGTGATGATTTGTGCCCAGACAATATAAGTTAGTTACATAAGTATTTGTCCTGAGATTTGAGAAAATTGATCCAGAAGAATATAAGTGCAAAAAAAATATTACATTTATGCCATTAAGGACAGTTTGAACACATTAAAAAATATGTAAAGCTTTTGGAGACTTTTCCTCAGCTCATAAAGCATCAGATATGTTTCCTGAATAATGGAGAGTAATTACCAGAGCAGGATTTTTTTTTAATCAATATTTTTTATTTTATTATTGTGGGGTACAGTTAAGGGTTAGGTATGCAACTATGCTTCGTTCAGGCACATTTGTTGATAAGAGGTGTTTCCCCGTCCCCAGACAGATATTTACTATCATTAATCCCACCTCCCTTCCCACCCCCCATAGTTTCCCACCACTGTCAATCCTTTTCTTATAGTATTACAATGAATGTTCAAGGTCCACTATATGAGTGAGAACGTGTGATACTCAGATCTTTGTTTCTGTGAGAGGTCACTCAGTATTATAGACTCTAGTTCCATCTAGGTTGCTGCGAAATTCATGATTTTGTTCTTTTTTATGGCTGCATAGTATTCCATCGTGTATATGTACCACATTTTTTTGTAACCCCATTATAAAGTGGGCAAAAGATATGAACAGACACTTCTCAAAGGAAGACATCTGAGCAGCCAACAGACACATGAAGAAATGTTCAACCTCACTAATCATCAAGGAGATGCAAATTAAAACCACGCTGAGATACCACCTCACTCGAGTCAGAATGGCAATTATCAATAACCCAAAAAATAACAGTTGCTGGAGAGGGTGTGGTGAAAAGGGAACACTTCTACACTGTTGGTGGGAGTGCAAACTAGTGCAACCTCTGTGGAAAACAGTGTGGCGATTCCTAAAAGCTCTAAATATCAACCTCTCATATGACCCCACAATCCCCCTACTGGGAATATACCCTGAAGAACTCAAATCACTCTATAAAAAAGATACCTGCACACGTATTTTTATCACAGCATTATTCACAATAGCAAGAACCTGGAACTAACCATGCTGTCCATCAAAAGAGGACTGGATTTAAAAAAAGGATTTTTTTTCTTTTTTGAGTTGGAGTGTCACTGTCACCCAGACTGGAGTGCAGTGGCCGCTCCCAGCCACCGCAACCTTGACCTGCTGGGCTCTGGCAATCCTTCCGCTTCGGCCTTCCAAGTAGCTGGAACTACAGGTGCACGCTATCACACCTGGCTAATTTTTTTGATTTATTGTAGAGATGAGGTCTCGCCTGCTCAGGCGGGTCTCGAACTCGCGGGCTCAGGCAATCCATTCACCTCAGCCTCCCAAAGGCGCAGGATTACAGGCTGAGCCACCGAGCCCGGCAGGATTTTTTTTTTAAGGCAGTTGGGAGTCAAGAAATTCCAATCCATCCAATTTCCTCAATTCCAATCCATCCAATTTCCTGCCTCCAGTAATTTCTGGGGCAAGCAGAGAAGTGGGGTTTGGAGTATGGAGTTTTGGGAAAGAAATTTCTTATGTATCTTTTTCTCTTCTTAGCTGAACAAAAGCCTAGCACCCAGATTAGGCTGGGAACCCCCTTACCATCATGAGCTTCTGGAGCACTTTGTGAAAACACTCTTAACACTTGTAATAGGTGACTCTATCAGTCCTTCAGTGTCATAACTGTAAGTTTCATGGTAAAAGGTACATGACAAACATTTGATAAATGGTCATTGAAAAAAAATGAATGAATTAAAGTATTATAGAAAATAAATATAAAAATCAAATCATATTTTACTTCAAATAGGCAAATGATAATAAGTAAATAGTAATGATATACTACTAATAAGTAAATAAGTGTGCTTTCAATATTATCCATATTGTAAAGTTGTTACCTCCGAAGTTAATAAAAATTTGTTAAATACCTGCCATATATTTACAATTGTCCAGTTTACAAGAGATTTTAAAAAATATTTCTTTATTCTTTCAATCCTTAATGAGTATCTACTCTGGGCAGGACAAGAATACAAATATGAATAAGAGAGGTTTTACGTTTTTATTAAGCTCTGTCTATGGGTTCTAAATGGAGAACCAGAATAATCAAAATGAAAAATGGTACAGTAGAACCAACAAACAGTTTTGATGTGCAAATAAATCTATGCTATTTTTTGCAGCCCTTAAAAAAGGTTTGTGACAACAAACATTGTGTATAGGCAGAGCATCCTGATGACCAACTGCACTAACTTAAAGAATGAAAGTCAACATAGTGTTGTGTTCTTTATTTTATTTTTTTTTGAGCTGGAGTGTCACTCGGTCGCCGAGACTGGAGTGCAGTGGCCGCTCCCGGCCACCGCAGACTCGCCTGCTGGGCTCCGGCGATCCTTCCGAGTAGCCGGAATGACAGGCATGCGCTACCACGCCCAGCTGATCTTTTTTTATTTTATTGTAGAGATGAGGTCTCGCTGCCCAGACGGGTCTCGAACCCGCGGGCTCAGGCAATCCACTCACCTCAGCCTCCCAAAGGCGCGGGATTATAGGCTGAGCCACCGAGCCCGGCTGTGTTGTGTTCTTGAGTTTATTACTAAGAGTTTTCTATCTACGGTGCCATTTTTGGATTGCTCAGACAACAAAGACACAGTATATTACACAAGAAAAGTTTTTTTAGTCTTTTTTCCAGCTACAGGTTTGGCCATCAGTTATCTTCATCAAGCTTGTACTTCATGATTGTTATACTATTCAATACTTTTTTTTACATCTTAGTTTTTAGAAGGGAAATAATAAAGGCAGTGAGTCCCTGAGTTCTAGGTGACAGGGTAAGATCCACTCAATAGCCAGAATAAATGATCTAGCCTTCATTTTAAATTCGAAGAAGGCATTAGTATTCCTAGGTGGTAATAGATTCACAGGAAAAATAAATTAGCCTACCTCAATCCTCTCAAAACAGCCCTGAGCAGATTGCATCATTAACCTTAAAATAAACAAAGCAATTCTGGTGACAAACTGAAAAAGTGACTTGAGCGTTTCTGAATGCATCATAGGTTATAAGAGACAAAGCCTGCTGGGAAGCAGCTCTGACAGTGAATGATTCCAAATGAAGGTACAAACAATGTCAGAGGTGGTAAGTATGGGTAAATTTTAAACTCTCTGACACCATTTTAGAGGATACTAACTGATCCTCCAGCAGAAGCTTGATGGGTGTTGAGGCTGGGCAGTTACTCTGTTTTGCTCTCGGCTTGAGCCTGGGCAAAGTTAATTAGAAGCGGCACAGAAAGGCTGAGAATCAATATTATTTTCAGCAGGCTGGCAAGAGAAGTATTAAATGGAGATTATCCACTGATTCTCCCAAGAAGAACACCTATAGCACAAATATGAAAATGGGACTGTAAACCTGGATCATCTTGATAGTCCCGTTATGCTCCAAGGCAAGGACCAGGTACTGGTGTTTCTCTTGGGCTTTGAGGAAAATCAGGCGTTGCAACCTGTGCTCTTCTTCCTTCCAATCTTTTCCTTCCGGCAACACTTTCATCTCTTGCCCACTGCCAAAGTCCCAGATTTTGACTGTTCCTAAGCACACAGAGAAAAAAACTATGTGGGTAAAAATGATTTACAGGGAGTTTGGCTCTTAGCTCTGAGGAACTTCATCCGATTGAAAGCTTTCTGCCAGCAATTGATCCTATATTTATTTCCTACTAAGACTGATGGGTGAGTCCAGGCTTGCCACGTATGAAATATATTTCTGTATGCCTTGATTTGTCACAGACGGATAAAAAATAAACAGGACTAGGCACTGTCTTGAAATCTACCCTCAGACTCTCCTATCTGAGCTTTTTCTCTTAAGTGGATGTTTTCTGTCTTTATTCTCCCAGTGCTTTCCAGTGTGCTAAACAACGCTCCCCAACGTGGGAATGCCACGATTACTACTGACAGTAAAAGATCATACCAATAATCGGTCACATTTCCTAAAGTGCTGACACATTTTAGGACTTTAGCTCTTATTGATAATAAAGACTTGAGGGACTCCTAGCAGGTAAGAAACTATCAAGCTCGGAGTTGTTTCATTGGTTACAATAGGAGGAAGATAAAAGAGGAGTTTTTTTTCTTACATTTTCAAATAATGCTTTCTGTTTGAAACCTGATCCCCAAGGTGATGGAATTTAGAGATGATTAGGTCATGAGGGTATGGTCTTGAGGGTGGTGCCCTCTTGAATGGGATTAGTGCCTTTATAAAATAGGCCACAGAGAGCTGCCCTGCCCCCTCTCTATCAAGTGAGGACACAGTAAGAAGGCACTATCTGTGAACCAGGAGGTAGGCCTTTGCCAGACACCAAATCTGCTGATGACTTGATCTTAAACTCCCCAGCCTTCAGAATTGTGAGAAATAAATTTCTGCTGTTTAAAAACAGCCAGTCTATGGTATTCTTTTGTAGCAGCTCAAACAGACTAAGATAATTTCTTTCTTGTTAATTTCATTCATTTGCTTTAGAGAACCTGGGTGAAGGAACCAGAAGGGATGATAATCAGTGTAGTTGTAGAATGTCTATTTCTAGGGCATTGCCCCATGTAGAGAATTATCTTCTCTCATGGCTTTTAGGGTGGTCACCTCAGGTCTAGAATCCAGTGGACCATCCCTTCTTTAACCCTACTCCCCCGGACTTCTTATCTCTCAGTTCTGATCCTACAAGACAATCAGTGCTTTCGCTGTGCGGTTTTCCTTCCCCTTTGCCAGATTCTCCCTGTCAGCAAGAGTCACAACCACATCATGTGTCTATTTGGTCACCAATAACATTGAACATAGGTGAAATACTCCCTCTATGCCCAGCACTGTGGTAGAAGTTGGGGTCATCAAGCGAATAATCATAGTTCCTGTCTTCAAGGACTCTATGGTATTGTAGGAAAATAGTCATACAAACAATTAAATGGAGTTATGTTCTCATACATTCCTGGGTTATGCAGACCACAGTCTCATGGCCCAGATGTCCTGCTACCTTGGGACTTGGGCAATCCGATTTAGTGGAGCCGAGAGCACAGAAAGGTACTACTCAGCTTTTCCTAAGGGGTGGGTGGATGAGAACAAAAAGGGACTGGTGGCTTGTGGCTAAGCTGCTCTGGGAGTCTGAGAATTCCACTTTCCAGAATGTCCTGGATCTTTGTCAATTTAACATATGGAGTCAGGCACAGTGATGCATGTCTGTAGTCCCAGCTACTTGGGAGGCTGAGGTGGGAGGATGGCTTCAGCCCAGGAGTTCAAAACCAGCCCTTAGGCAACAGAGAGAGATCCCATCTCTAAAAAACAAAAAATAAATTAAAAAATATAATATATGTACCTCTGAGGAAGGCAAACTGCCAATATTTAAAAGAATTCTAGATTCTAGAATGAACAAAGTATGGGTTGCTTGCAAGAAAATAATACTATCATCAGTCATGTATTGAATTGCTCAATGCTTATTTTTGCCTATAATGACTATATACACTGCTCAGAATTTCTATTATGACTAATTTTCACATGTATGCAGTGTGGTATAGAACAAAGACTTACTTTCTTAAAACTGTTCCACGTGAAGTGCAGTTGCATTTATTCATACCCCTAAAGTCAGAATTCATGCTATTATTTCATGTTGCGTTGTCATGCTCACACTTTAAAAAAATCAAACTTTCACATCAGGGTGCTCACTCAATTCATCAATTGGCCTATGAGCCAGCACGTATGGAGTAAATATATCCCAAGGATAAATATATTCTGAGTAGTGTATGTAGTTGGTCATATTGTTTAGATGAAGAAATTCTTTCTCAGGGTTCAGAACAAAACAAATTGAAAGGCAGGGCAGTCTGTAGCTCTTAAGCCCTGAAAGTTCTATGCAGTGCTGAAGAACATCAAACGACATAACCCCACCTGGGCCTGACAGACTCTCAAGTTTGATAGGACACACGACCGCGAAAAAGCCTAGATGTATAAACAAGTCCAGTATAGAACTATAGGGCTTCTATAACAAAGTGGACTGGATGTTTTGTCTGTTCCAAAACCTACTGTCAATAAAACTACTGTTAGCAAGTACCAAATCTAATGCCTATCTTGTAATAGATGGCACTCAAAAGTGGAAGTATAGAGTAAGTTAGTGCAACACAGATAAAGTCCCACCAAACATCAAATGAGATGGTATATGTGAAAGACGTTTGCAAGCTGTTGAAGCAACTATATAAAACAATGTATATAGTTTTAGTATTAGTATTATGATTTCTTAATAATAACCACTCAGGCTGGAGTGCAGTGGCATGGTCACATCTACTGCATCCCTGACGTGCTGGGCTTAGGTGATCTTTCTGCCTCAGCTTTCCAAACAGTTGGAACTACAGGCGTGTGCCAGCACGCCCAGCTAATTTTTGATTTGTTATAGAGATGAGATCTCCCTGTGAAGGAAACCAGAACATAAGCGGACAAGGTCCTTATGTTTCTTGGCTTGTGTTCAAGGAACCAAGCCTATATTTCCTTTATCTCTCCTGACCTTTTGTTGTTATTCTACAGATAGCAGAGCAGCATGACCTCAGCCATGTGGCCTAGAGGCTGTTTGTCTTATTAATTGCCTTGCTTTAAATTTAGATAACACAGATGTTATTATCGGTATAGTTAAACAATCAATACATATCCTGCTTGTGTGTTTTGGCTCTGATGCCGCTTGTATGGTTTGGCCCTATATAAGAGGCATGCTGTGAAAATAAACTTGCTCTCTGTCGCTCCACCTATCTAGGAGAGAGTCCTCCCAGTCCTGCTGTTCTTTGTCTTTTTTTTCTCATTCCCTCCCCCCAACTCAGGCCCTGCTCATGGGAGGCTGGTACTCCACACCTGAGTTGCTCAGGCTGGTCTCAAACTCCTGGGCTGAGACAATCCTCCCATAGTGCTGGAATTACAGGTGTGAGCCACCGTACCTGGCTGGTATTAATTATTTTCAATAGCAATATCAAGACATGGATACCCATTAGATAACAGAGGCTACCACTATCCATTCAGGCTCAGGAATCTCACTGGCTGCTTATATATTCCAGCCTATTTCATGCTCTCCCTCTATCCTCAGAGAACTGATGAGTTCCTAACACAAATTCTCAAGAAACTAAAGTAGGGATATCATATTCTGGATATTACTCTGACCATTATATGCTCCTGTGACAAAAATAAATCCACTTTCATCGATAGCTGCAGAAGTCAGTTCAATATTGAAGCCATGAGGGTCTAAAATCTGATATATTTGGAGGCCAGTCTCAAGTTCCCATACCTGTAGGAAAGAACAAAAATTTGAAATAATCTCTCTGAATATGCCCTTCAATTCTTATAAGATTTTAACCATATTCAAAACCGTCTCAAAAATGACACGCTGCACACTTCATCCTGAATATTGACTTGTTCGAAAAATGAAGTGCTGTCTAGAAGTTACTGTGCTATCCTGGATATTATCTTGGACTGTGTCTGCCGCAAATGTAGGTGGCTGAGACCAACAATGACTCTATTCCAGGTGGCTCCTGGCTATGGAGGAAATGGTAAGCCTGAAGCAAGGTTAGTGCCAAGATAGAATTGTAACAATTAAAAGTGCATCAGACAAAAAAACAAACCATTTATTCCCTGGTGACACTCATCCAAATTAGCCAGGGATCAAGGGACAAGATCTGTGGTTAACAGCATGGGATGTGAGGAAAGTGCTCACTGACATTTCCAAGGAGTGTTCTTACTAGAGACATGGGCCCCGCAAAAGAGGAAGACAGGGAGAGAGAGAGAGAAAGATAAGGAGAAAAGGAGGGAGGGAAGGAGGGAGACTGGGTATAATTAGAAAATCCAGAAACCTGTCAACATATCTTTAGAATCACGGTAGAGGCTTTAGACCTGTAGACCTCCTGTCTGAATCCCTCCCTCTCCTGGGATCTGCCATATGCAGAAGCAAATGACTGCCAGCAAATAATGGAACTGGGCTGACAACACAGAATAACTTTTCTGCTGAAGATAAGCTTCCGTGTGGTGAATGAAGCTTTTTGTTTAAGAGGCCTTTTCAACCAACAAATTGCAATTGTTGCTCTCTAGTTACTGGGAGGTGGAGGCAGCATGTGCAAAAGGCCAAGGATATGAAGGTGCATGTTTCCCCCAGAGAACTAAAAGAAAGCCATTGCAGCTGGGTGAAAGAGCGTGGAGATAGAGCTGATGAAATCGCTTGGAAGCCAGATAACCAAGAACAATTGACTGGGAAGCAGTAGAGGGAGATTTAGATAAAGTCAGTTTGTCTCTAGAGTCCACATGCTTATCTTCTGTGTGTCCCTGGTTATAGAAGGGTTCCTTCAGGGAGAAAGAGGAATTGGGTCGCTACGTGAATGGGTCTCGGGGTCACTCAACTCCTTGTCTGAAGTACAGTCTCTCTCCAACCAGCCAGGTATGGAAACTCAGCTAGATGTCTTCCTTTCCCTCTTCTCTCCCGCACAGGGATGACATTTTCCACATAAGAGGTCAGTTTTGCACGAAAGCAGGACAAGTTTTAGTTTCCCTTGACTTACTCTTTCTTTAGGCATTACTAGAAATAAGAGATAATTATCTGAACTCAGGAGATGTTGGCTGAGGAAATCTCCAACAGACGGGCAGAGAAAGTGCAAGACTGAGAGAATTTGCACCATCTCCAGAGGAATGCTCTCTACTGGTTCACATGTGTCCTTTCAGAGAGCATATATGAAATAAAAGGATAAACACCTGAAGCACATACTTCTGGCCATCTCTGCCAGATGACTTCATTGGTCTTAATGACAGGCGTCATTAGCATGAAGGGCACTCCAGCCTCTAGAGAACACAATAATGGTAGGGCTAGAGGAATGCAGAGGAAGGGACATGCGTGTTCACATTAGGCAAACTTGGGTTCATATCCCAGCCCTCGTGCCTAGAATCTGGGCCATGATTTCTCTGACCTGTAGTTACTCTATCCTTAAAATGAAATTTGTTATCTCTCCACGGAGAACTGTTGTGAGGATTAAATGAGATCAAAGACTTAAGGACCTGGACACATATCCTGAAACTATAGAGGTTGTAGAAATGCCTATAAATTTATTTCCTTTGCTTCCTAACATATACTCTCTTCCCAAAGCTAGTTTCTTTTTTTAAACAAATCAAAATACAGGTTAGTTCTTTCTCCTTAATATATTTTATTTTAAAATTCCTATTTTGATTATAAAAATTAGCTTTGTTTGTCTACTTGAGCACGTGGCTTGACCACAGGCAGTCCAAGCTGGCTTAAAACGTCTGTTTTTCATGTCCCATAAAAGCCTGAAAATCACTATACCATAGGGGCTCATTATATGTGCCACTACATTTGCTGAATCACTCAATTATTTATCTTTAAGAGGAGAAAATTCTACCCGCACTGGCTTTTTCTTTCTGAAGAGCCAGTAGGTACCTACCTTAATGATAGATTCAGAGCAGATAGTGAGTACTTGTTGGAAATGTTTGTTGTAAAGCATGACGTTGATCTCTCGCTCATGAGTGTGAGGAATCTGTTTTGTATCTTGTATCATCCTAGTCAGAGGATACATGTCCATAACACTAGACCCTGAAACAGATGTAGGACTCATAAATACCCAATATTAGAAATTTGAAGCACAAAAGATTTTACCCAGCTAGTTGGGTTTGGAAACAGCCAGTTGGTAAGATGAATAATATCAATGCCTAGTAAATTCAATGAGGTGAAAACAGTTTTCTTTATTCTAAAACATTTTGACAAATGAAACAAATGTGAGTTAGCCAGAGTCAGAGAAAGGTGTTCATTTTGACTTCATTACTTTTCAATTGTAGGCCATTTGGACTTCACTGATATTGTTTTTAGTGACCCCTATTTTACTATTTTTTTATAGCCCATTTTTTCCCTTCTTTATTGCAGTAAGCATGCCTGTCCATCTGGTGCACGGCAATGATGGTAGTGGTCAGCTTTCTGCTGAAGGTAAGCTTCCACATAATGAATGAAGTTTATTGTTAAAGATCTTTTTCTTTTTTTTTTTTTTCCGAAGTCTACTGCTCATGGCTCATTTCTTGGCTCATGGCTTCTTTCCTTTTGAAGCCTGCTAAAGAGGCCTTTTCAACCAACAAATTGATAAAGTAGCCTGTAAACATGATCTTATTAAATGTAATGAACGAGTATGATTATAAATCAGTGCTTGCAACATTAATATTAAATAAGATTAATTTCCAAATAACCATCATGAAGTAGATGGGGAGTAGATGGTTTTTACATAATACTATAAACTGCAAGTATAATTTTAATATCAAAATCAACTAATTGTGTGTTCTGTTTTAGTGTAATACTGTAATTGAAGTATAAGCATTCTGAAGCTCAAACAAAAATGAAACTTCTTCCTTATTTTATTGATGTGGAGATTAAGTTACCAAAGGCAGACTTTGTATTGAGTTTCTTAAGTGTTTCCAAAGAATTCTCAACTTTAGGAGAAGTTTCAGTAGAAGTTATTAAACACTTTCAACAAAAAGTGTTGAACTTTTGAGATAAAATCTGTTCATGTGTAAAGAAGGACTGAGATGGCTCATCTGGTAGTATTTCTCAATTCAAGTTCTTCAATATGGAAATGTGAGAGGAATGTGGTAACCAGATCATCAAAAAAACACTCGGAGCTTTTTGGTAGATCTTTTCACACTGGCAGTAACTAACGTTATTTAAAATGGACATCACCAAAGCTTGATATACTTATGGGCAAGTGGCAATCTTCTATTGTTTTTGGCTAGTTATATTACTGCTATAGAAACAACGAAGTACAAAAAATGTGAATTCAGGAGTCAGAAGCTTTGAGGTCTAATCCCAGTTCTATGTTCTAACTTTGAGTCCTTCTACTAGTCAATTGAGCTGTTTGAGATTCAGTTTCACATTTACAAATTAGGAAAATTAATAATTACTGCCTCATGGCAGTTGTGCAAATAAAATGAAAAAGTACACAAGAGCATTTTGTTTGTTTGTTTGGTTGGTTTGTTTTTTTTTTTTGAGTTGGAGTCTCACTCTGTCGCCCAGACTGGAGTGCAGCGGCCACTCCTGGCCACCGCAGCCTCCACCTGCTGGGCTCCAGCGATCCTTCTGCCTCAGCTTTCCAAATAGCCGGAATTACAGGCATGTGCTACCATGCCCGACTGATTTTTTGATTTATTGTAGAGATGAGGTCTCGCTGCCCAGGCGGGTCTCGAACCTGCGGGCTCAGGCAATCCACTCACCTCAGCCTCCCAAAGGCGCGGGATTACAGGCTGAGCCACCGAGCCCGGCTCACGAGAGCATTTTGTAAAAGAGTTATATGAAGGATGATTGTCTTAATAAGAGTAATAATGATAAAAATGATGGTAACAACATATTCTAGAAAGCATTTCTAGAATGAGATACTGCTGTCATTAGGGTTTAAAGGACTACGAAATTCTGATGTTGATAGTTTCAGTCAGTATCTGCAATTTTAGTGATTAAGGCATACACAGAGCTCTTTATTTATGCAAACAGAAGTGCTATCAGAATTATATAAAACTGGAAAAAATCTTGATGTTTCTTTGTTTTCTTCTCCTTGTTCCTCCTTCTCTTCCTCTTCCCCCCCCCCTTCTTCTTCTTCTTGGTCTTGATATTTGAATCCTTTGTTAGTCTGGTCTGATAATAAATAAGATGTTTGGACACATGCCTGTAATCCTATACTTTGGGAGGCCAAGGTAAGAGGACTGTCTGAGCCCAGGAATTTGAGAACAGCCTGGGCAACATGTGAGACGTTGTCTCTATAATAAATCAAGAAAATTAGCTGGGCACGGTGGTGTGTGCCTGTAGTTTCAGCTACTTGGAAGGCTGAGGCAGAAGGATTGCCTGAGCCCAGCATATCAATGCTGCGGGTAGCCAGGATTGCCACTGCACTGCAGCCTGGGTGACAGAGTGAGACTCTGACTCAAAATTAAATGAGTAAGTAAGTAAGTGAATAAATAAATAAATTTATGTGATGGAAATGCTGAACCCATAATCAAACATGCACATTGGGTACTATGACACAAAATTTGCTTATAGCAACCAGTATGTTCCTTCTCGAGGAATTAGTATAGAGGAGGGGTGCTTGTAACTAGAACTAAATTTTATTTTATGGGGTAGAAAATTATCAAGCATGAAGTGCTAACTCACCTCTAATCTAGGAAAACAAAACAAAAAACAAAGAAAGTTATAAATAATTACATTCTGCAACAGCAGAGATAGCACCAACTACTACCCCGCCTTAATTAATCTCACAGGAACTCACAGCAGATGGTCAGTAGGAAAATGCTTAGGGAATGCATTCTGGATTCGTGTTCCAGAACTACTATTAATATTGTTCATTTTTCTTCTAAACCCTAAGGGTGTGCATATGAACAGTGTCCAACCTAAACGTCTAGTGAGGTCCCTTGTCTCTTCACTAGATGTAACTTTCTAAGAGGCTACAAAAAAGAAAAAAAAAATCAGCAACAAATCTGTTGGCATCAGCACTGGGATACTATTCCCCCTCTCCACTACTCTTTGTCAAGAAGCAAAGACTGATGAAAGGATCGGCACCCTTCTTACCAAGCAATGACTCTTTACCAGAATGCATGGAACCAAAATGCCTTGTTGCAAAAGAGGGGCATTGACTTGGCAGGCTGGTGCATATTCCTGCTCCCGAGAGACAAAACAGGACTGAGAGGTGGCAGCTGGATTTGCCCTATTCATAGTAACAATTTACACATATCCCACTTCTCTGCTTAACCCAGACCATATCTTCTTAGGTTCAAGAACTTAGAGCACTAACCCTGTATTTTCAGAAGAGTGCAGTTACACATTTCATACACTCAGTCATAGAAATATAGAAAAGAACAGAATTGAATTAATATCTACTGTAATGAATTAGGGTTTATATATTACCCTTCTAGTTTTCTAGTTAGCATTCAAGTCCTAGTTTAAATAATTAAAAATCAAAATATGAATTTCATTTAGTATTAATTGGGTATACTTACCTGTAATAAGCATGCCATGATTGGCATCATATACCATGGAGTAAATCTGCATGTCTCCTGGTCCTCCCTGACTGTCATGGAAGACTTGTAGTAGTGAAAGAGTCTGTATATCCCACACCCTGAAGACCTGGAGAATAAAAAACACATTTCACCACTGTTTATACTTTGTCTTTCCCATTCAAGACATCTAAATAATGAAGCACTTTAGTCTAAAGCATGCTTTCTAATAAACTTGTAGCAAAGTATTATTTATATGATGAGGACACGTTTGCTAAGCTCCAATTTAGTTTCTGTTTGGATTGTTCATTAAAATTGCAGGAAAATAGCTGCAGTGATTAAAACTTTGCTTAAAGGTATACCTTTAGGAACTAGATTTTTCTACCATTATAGAAGGAGGAGGAGCATAGTATTTATTGCTCTTTAAGAATCTGGAGGAATAATATAAGATCATGATTTACCGATTGGGAGTTAAGTTAAATTAAAGCCATGTTTCTCTTTCTACTACGGATGAGAAAGTAGGGAAGAGACATAATTTAGGTGGAAGGTTTCAAAATACTCTTTCATGACTTATGAAGATAACATGTTATTAAGTGAAATTTCTAAGAACCTCCCTCTCCTCTTTCCCAGAGATGTAAGACTTATAGAAAGTAGTTTTTAGGGATGGTATAGATATAGTAAGAGTATGGGAATACAAGTTTTTAGATTCTCCTTTGAGGGAGAAAAGAGAACTATATAATTACTCAAATAGAACCTGCGTTGATATAAGAGAATAGAAAGAACAAAAAGTACAGATTGAGCAAACCTAGGACAAATTTGTCATCTGAAATAACTGGTCTTAAGCTTCTTTATTATTCTGTTTTTTTAAAGCAAGTTACAGTGTTATTGAAGTTCAGAAACAAATGTGATTTTATCAAAAATTAAATTTCCTAGTCATGAATAATGTTTAAATAATATTTTCATATTATGGCTTTTATTAACCTTTTAAATTGGAGTATTTGTTGAGTAAATGGGTGATCATTAACAGATCTACATACAAAATTTTAGTAAGTAGTTAATAGAGATACTAACTTCTAATTTGAGACACTTAGAGATGAGTTAATTATATATATATATATATATATATATTTTTTTTTTTTTTTTGAGTTGGAGTCTCACTCTGTCACCCAGACTGGAGTGCAATGGCCGCTCCCGGCCACCGCAGCCTCGACCTGCTGGGCTCCGGCGATCCTTCTGCCTCAGCCTTTCAGTAGCTGGAACTACAGGCGTGCGCTACCATGCCTGGCTCATTTTTTTTTTTTAAATTTATTGTAGAGATGAGGTCTCGTCAAGTTGCCCAGGCAGGTCTCAAACCCGCGGGCTCAGGTAATCCACTCACCTCAGCCTCCCAAAGCGTGGGATTATAGGCTAAGCCACCGAGCCTGGCTAGTTAATTATGTATTAGCTGGGTTTAAATCTTCATTATTGCTAAGGCATGTTGGTTCTCACATTTAAGAACACAAAGATGTCTAAGTTATGTGACTTTAGGGAATACAGGTGAGGAGCCTTTGCTCAAACGTATACCCTTTGTAGGTTAGTATTACTCAAAACTTTTTCTGTTAAAATTTATTATCTTTGTTCTAGTAAAAATGTAAATTTTGGGAGAGTAGATAGAACATGAACCTTACAGTCTTTTGTATCAGAGAGTAAGTATAATGGACTATTATGAATTTAGATTCATACATAGAATGAGAAAGAGACACAAAAGTGAACTCAAGAAATGCACCAAAGAAAAGTATCTGTATGCAAATTGTTTTTGACCTTATTTCTTTGGCTGAGATACATTCATGACTGACAGTCTTTTGCTGTATGTGTATACATTCTGAATTGTAGTTGGTGGAGAGAACAAGGGACTAGGCAAACAAGGACTAGGGCTTCCATTCTAGGCCAGCACTTAAGTTCCTCGAGTCTCGGTTTTCTTGTTTCTCTAATGGACATAATGACACCAGCACCCTTTGCTTCACTGAATTGATGTTAGTACATTCTGAAATCTGTGCTGTTCTCTACTGAGTAATTCCAATGAGTTTTTCTTCTTTCTCTTCTTCAGTGTTCAGTTCTTTGGGTCTTTCATGTGTGCTTTAGGAAGCGGCGATTGCTAGGCTGTGGGAGGCACGAGGCCCTTCCCCACATACTGCTCCTATTCTCCAGGCTTTTCTGCTGCCCCTCTCCTTATATGCCCCCTTGGTTATATTCACACCAAAGTGTTTCCCATTTCCAAAAAGCCTCTTTCTTATTCTGGTCTCTGTGAACTCACACAGCTTCTCCTTTCATCTGCAATTTCCCCTCAACAGCCTTTTCTAACTCCTACTCTTTTTAAACTCTGCCATAAAGAGAACTAAAGTTAAGTTCGTTAAGTTAGGGTTCCAGTCAGAATAGTGCTAGAAATTTTTGTACTGATGTGTCATTTCTTCTTCAAACACAGAGAAAATATAAAAAAAGAAGAGAAAGCAAAAAGAGATAGGAGGGGTCCAAAGCAATCTTTCTCTGGATTCAAATGGGAGAGAAGCACAAAGCAACAAATGGGCTGAAGCCAGCAACGAGGGTACAGGGTCTGAAGTGAGCGGTGGCTCTTGCAGGACAGACAGCAGACAGAGACAACAGCAGGTTTCTTGCTCCAAAAGGGGAGGCAAGAAGCAATAGGTGGTGATCTGTTCTTAGTTCTTATCTGTAGGTACAGTTTTTTGAAAGATGTGAGACTAGTGAGGGTGGGGGACATGTTTTCTGAACAGGAACTAAACCAAAACTCAGGAGCTAGACCTATTTCTGGACTGAGGCCAATGGAGTCGGGTAGAGGAAAGTATAGATGGAGAAGAGTGAGCATGCACACACACACACACACACACACACACACCTAAGTGGTAAAAGGGGACTATGATTTTGAGAAAAATATGGAGGAGAAATCTTCATGAATTTAAGAGTTGGAAAGGATTTCTTAAGTAAACACATAAAACATAAGCCATAAAAATAGACAGATTTAGTTAAATTAAAATGAAAAACTTCCATTCAACTAACACAACAATCACAAAGACACAAGTGTAGAAACTACTCATATGTTCATTGGTCAAGTTAGATAAATAATTTGTGCTATAATTTATACAGTAGAAATCATGCAGCAGTTAAAATAAACTAGAGCTATATGCAACAACAGGAACATAAAAATATAGTGTTGAAGAATACAATTGCAGTACGATATAGTCACCATAATATTTATACTATATAAAACATGCAAAATAAAACTATATTAGGAACATTTACACCCGTCCTGTTGTTATATATAGCTTTAATTTATTTAGTTTAACTGCTGCATGCCTTTCTACTGTATAAGTGGTCATGCCTCTAGTTTAGATGTTCTCTCTCCAGATGCCCATAATACAGTCATGCGTTGCTTAATGATAGGGATATGTTCTAAGAAATGTGTCTTTAAGAGACTACATAATTGTGTGACCATCATAGAGTGTACTTACACAAGCCTACATGGCATAGCCTACTACACACCTAGGCTTATGGTATAGCCATATATGACTGTCATATATGCGGTTGTCACTGATGGAAACATTGTTATGCAGAACACGACACCGCATGCTTACATTAATAGCAACAGCAATTATAAGATGATGACTTATGTTGTGGCCTTCTCCATGAGACTATAACTTGCTTGAGGGAGGAACCATAACTTATTTGACTCTGTTTTCTCCGTGTCTTATGTACTCTGTTTAGTTTGGTTGATTAGTTAGTTTTTTGGTCTATTTGCTGGTTTATTCTCTGCCTTGGTTCAGTAGAAATTTACAGTGGTTCTGTGCACATAATACTTAAAAAATACATTAATTAATTAATTAATAGTTAATAAATGGGACCGCTGCAGAAAACAATCTACTTTATTTATTTATTTATTTGAGTTGGGGTCTCACTCTGTCGCCCAGACTGGAGTACAGTGGCAGGCTCAGGGCCACCCCAGCATTGACCTGATGGGCACCGATGATTCTTTCTGCCTCAGCCTTCCAAGTAGCTGGAACTACAGGCATGTGCTACAGGCGACCAGCTAATTTTTTATTTTTTGTAGAGACTAGGTCTCACCAAGTTGCCCGGGCTGGTCTCGAACCCGCAGGCTCAGGCAATCCACTTACCTCGGCCTCCCAAAGTGCTGGGGTTACAGACTGAGTCACCGAGCCTGACCTCACTTTATTTTTATCTGGTCATAATATGTTAGTTACTTCAGGAGAAAAAGAGAGTAGTGTTGTTAATTGGGTTCTAGTCCTCTTCTTTCCCTTATTCCCTGGAGGCTGATGGTGCTTGTAATGCTTGGTATTAGTGCTGCAGAGCTTGGGAGAACAGAAGAGGAGACAGGTCATCCCTGAAGAGGTTTAGAAAGAAAGCAAGGGGCAAAGCATTTCAGAAAGAGACTGAATTGCTGTCAAGAGAAAAGCAGAGAGGACCAGTGGATTCTACTAAAGAAGTTGGGGCAAGCCGGGCTTGGTGGCTCAGCCTGTAATCCCGCGCCTTTGGGAGGCTGAGGTGAGTGGATTGCCTGAGCCCGCGGGTTCGAGACCCGCCTGGGCAGTGAGACCTCATCTTTACAAAAAATCAGCTGGGCGTGGTAGCGCATGCCTGTAATTCCAGCTACTCGGAAGGCTGAGGCGGAAGGATCACCGGATCCCCAGCAGGTTGAGGCTGCGGTGGCCGGGAGCGGCCACTGCACTACAGTCTGGGCGACAGAGTGAGACTCCAACTCAAAAAAAAAAGAAGTTGGGGCAGACTAGGACATATGTGTTATAAATTGAATGTGCGTATAAAGTAAAATAATAAAAAAATTATCTTCTAGTAGTGGTAAAAGTCGTAATGATAGTTTTCAAATGAATTGGGAATGAAGGAGTTAGATGGAAGAATATTTTTTAATATTGGGGAAATTATTCAACTGTAAGGCTGGTTTAGCTTCTTTGGAGGGAAGATGAAAAGTGAAGTTGCTAATCACAAAATATCAAAAAAATAGCAAAAGAAAGCGTTCTTTTACAGCCTTTTGTAAGGAATAATTAAGAAATAATGATGAAGTAGAAGTTTGAAGAAATACACATGTGTGTGCTAGGAGTGAGGATT